GTTTTTCAAAATGCCCATATCAAAATCTAGTGTTTCCATATACTTAGTATGTCATAGTTTCTTAGACATTTTGATCAATTTTATTGATATTTGGTAAAAGTATGGATCAACCTACATGCAATTACATTCACTTACTATGCGAAGCCTATACCTTTATAATACTTGCTCTGATCACATGACAGCTATTTACATTTTAACTTTGATTAGATGATTATATGACATATTTAATGGAATAAATGTATGTGAATTTGGGGATGTATTTACATAAATACTGAAAAATATCAGCATGCAGTGGACATTTAATATTAAACAATGAGTGTTTACTTTTGTTAGGCTGTAAATGTTTCACAGATGATATTGTTGGATGGAATTCAAGATATCTTCATTTTGTCATTACAGAATATTTCAACAAATGGTACAACATGATAGTTATTTATTGGACTCTGAAATAAACTGTTGTTGGAAGGTATGTCATGTTTATGTGTCAGTGTTATGTGTCAGTGTTATGTGTGGTATGTATATAGTGTGTAATGTTGCTTATTAATATTACCCACCCAGGTGAAACCTACTTCAATGCAACCATCTATGCCGACAACATCCGCCATACTTGAACAATGTTGTGTGGATAATCTTGGTAAATTTACTGCCCACACTAATGGCAGAGTTCATATTGTGTTTAAAGACAGGACTATGTTAGACATGAGGTGGGATTTTAGTAGTCGACTAAAGAAGATGTATCTTGATAAGGATGATCAGGTAAGATTTTAAAGACAGTGCTTTCTATGTTACTTGTGTGTCAATGCTGTCATCAAAGACAAAAGAATGAAGCTCTTCTTATAGGGGATTGTTCAATGTCGTCTGTTCATCGTCAGTTAGGCTTTATTATTACTTCTCCTTGAAATCTACCAAACTGATTGCTTTCATACTTGATATCTAGATACCATGGGTGGACCTAACTTTTAGGAATTCTACAATTTGTGCAAAACTTTATTTAGGGTCTATGTGTACTCATTTGTATCTGTGTTACTTAACTCATCACCTATTCATTTCAGGAGGACAACAGTGAAAATAGACCACCGTATATTGACAATGATCAGACAATTCCTGCGGGAGCATGCCGTCTTCTACTTTCTAATGGGCAATATCAGATTGTTAATTTACATCAATCACAGGGATTCACCAAGTAAGTTGAAACAATGTTCCAGCACTCCATCAACTGATACCATTATATCTGTGAAGGCTTTCAGCTGCTATAGGGTTAATCAATTCCACCATCTTGTTTATACCATGTTGTGTTATTGCAAAAATAACCTATCGTAATTCACCCCATTAATTTTGTCAGATTGTATTGAGTAGCATCACTGTTATTATAATGAGTGGTAATAAACTGTGCTGTGATTATTTCTAGATATGTATCTCTGGCAATGGAATGGGTAACCTGGGTAAACAGCTCACCAAATGAACGAATGAATTTCTATGAGGGAAGGGATAAGGACTTCACAAGCAGCAGGTAATGTCACACGCATAAGATGTTTCCTTGAATCATGTAAAAGTCACCATGAAAATATTGGTGAACTGTCAATTGCATTCTGTTTTTGGTTCTGTTTGGTCAGAATGCTCTATCCTGGCAGGATTTATAGAGAGTAGTCAGGTCAGATGTTCACACCTGGGGACTTCACTTCCTGATTTGTATGCAGTCAATGTAACATGCATGTTATTACAGTATACATTAATGTAAGCAGTATATATACAGTATGTAATTATTATTTCATTCTTTTCAGGTCTGTGGCTGCGGAATTACAGAAGATCAAGTGTTTTAATTGTATCCTTAGAACTTTTGTGTCTGATCTAGTGTTGCCATGTGGTGGCAGTCATCATGTTTTTCACTCTAGCCAATCAGTATCTGGTTTGTACCGTGTTGTGTTATTGCAAAAATCATAAATTATCTATCCAGTTCATGACAAATTGTATTGAATAGCAAGGCAGTGGAAACTTGGTTCACATGTCAGTGGCAGTTTTTTTTGACTGTGAGGGTGAAGATTTTATGTGAATGTCAAAGAATCGAGCGCCGAAGAGGTGTCCGGGGCATGCTCCCCTGCAAAAATTTGGAAATCTAGACCCTCTGAGACGCTGTTTCCTGCATTTTGAAGAGCAAATTTTGATGGTAAACTCAGGTATATTTCTCGTACAATTATAGATGAGTGTTTTACCTTATTTTATCGTGGGGGCGATGTCCCCACGACCTATTTTTCGTGGGGGCGACACTGCCTCAGGGTGCCGCAGCCACTGCATTTGGATATAGTTAGACAAATATTGGTATAATCACTGACATTTTATCCCGTAATGTCAATGTATGTACTTTGGTTACCTGTCAAAGCTGAGCATCCATCATAGGGAAGGACCAATATGCAGAATCAGGTTACTCCTTTTATCTGTGCTACACCAACACTAGCACCTATGATTGCAAAAATGTGCCTGGGGAAAGTGGGCATGTAATTCAACAGTGACTATTTAACAATTAATTAAGCAGTTTTATGGCATCACTAACCAATTATTACCACTATTTGGATGATAGTTGGTGTCTGAACCAGACACAGTTCTCAAACATCCAGTAATGTAGGACAAGACAAGTATATAATGCAAACAATAATTTAATTATCACAACAACACCGTTACAAGAAACGGGAACTTGCATAAATTGACAGGTCCTACAGAAATGTCCACACACTGGTAATCGATAGTGATTAGACATAACTAATTGCTAATGTAAAGAATACACAACAAACTCTAGCCCTATAAGCGGGACTGTACCCCCAGACAAAGGTTGTAACATATCTGGTGCCTAAGGTGATCAAATCACTGTTGTGTGTGTTTGTCACATAAAACTGACCAAGTCTATGACAGATGGTGATGTCTAGAGGCTTTCAGGTAATAGGAGTTGAAAATGTTGAAAATTTCCAGCACCTACCTTCAGTATGGCCCAAAGCCTTTAGATCATGCATTTTTATGGAATACAACTTGTGCAGGGTGTCTGCATGACATATGCAAGCTTATTAGCTTCCAAGACCCAGCATGGCACAGATAGCTGGGTAGATCAAAATGAACAGTAGCCCAACCTTCTCCTGGGGCTACCATTTTTCAAAATTAGTAGCCCACCTTATCTACTAAAAATTTACCAAAAAATATCAGTTTTTGGAATAAAGCAATTCATCTTCAAAATTATGGATGTCTTACACAAATTGAGCAAAATCACACTTTTCTGCATGGCTTTACTAAGTACCTTGAAAACCAAATATTACCATAGGACTAGTTATATTTCAGCAATTTTATTTTTGCAAAGATCGAGACTTAACTCACTTAACTCAGATTTGTTGGAGAATTGCAGTGCCAACACCAACACCTGTCAACAGTCAGTAATGAGCAATCACAGTGGACCGGGAATGGTACAAGATGTGCTGAAGAGAACGTCACAGACAATAAATGATATCAATGCACTTTTAGACAAATCCTAACTGTGCTAATAGGGTGATGTGATTGGAACAAAGTCTTGCACCTTCAACACATTGTCATGTGATGCACTATTTTCTCTCTCACCCTCAGTACTTTTACCACTCTTGATCATGTAACAAATTGTTAATTAGTAATTCATAATTTTAAGGTGAAAAAGTTGGGTTTCAACTATGACTTTATTATTGGGAGTCAGTATGTATAACCCCTTTGGGTAGACATTTGATGTATGCATTCTCACTGCCATTGTTTGTACAATAAAGATAAATCTGACAACTAATTTAAAATTAAAAATACTAATGATAGATGTATTTATTAAGCAATAAATAAAAACCCACAATACAAAATGCTAGTGATACATGTACAAAGCTTCTCACAAGTAACTCGAATTAAATATAATGCACATGTTTATTAGTAACAAGTAAATCAGACATCAATCATCTCAACCAATGTTGGATGAATATTCATTAAAATACTAAATTGAGAAATGAACCGATTAAAGCCAATATATTGTTGCCCCCTGATATACACCAATTTACTGCATAAATACTTTGGATGTGATTTGAGGTGTACATGAGACTGAAGGAGATATTTACCCTTTTATGTAGTAAATTGTCTTTGCACCCTTGTCACTTTCAATACCAGCAAGTTTGAAATAATCAGTGTTAAATGGATCGTGCCTAATTTATTAAAATGTGAAAGTATGTAAGAAAACTATGGCGATTGTATTGATGGTGGTTAATGAGAGACATTGCCTTGGTAACAAGATTATACTAAGCAATTCATGGTGCAACATGTTAAAAGGCCTTTAGATGACTTAACACTGCTCCTCTGGATAGAGATTCACAGGGGTGGTATAATATTGTAACTACACAATGTTACAAAAGACTATTACTAGACAGTTAACCAGCATAGCAGTTCTAATGAGGTTATTACGAGGATGCCGAAATCCCCAAAAAGTATACAACAGATTTAGCAAACTTCTTTGTGAGAAGTCTGGTCAAGCCCTTGGGGTAGCCATGAGGACTATTGCTCAACATTTGGAATTTTCATTTCCTTGTATGACAAGATGAATATCGCAAAATTACAGCAAGTGATGTATAATACCATATATGCACATGATACACGTCCAGTTCTAATACTAAACGACGCAAGTAGCTTTTATATCACATCAAACAATGGTGATAATGTCAATCCTTTTGACCATAGCATGTCATTTCTACCACAGTATAATAAATATGCTTGCAGTAATATTTGTTAACAAGACTGAATTTTTGTCCATTTATAAGTCTGATACTGTAAACCACTTCAAATTCGGGGAGACAAAATCACAAGTGAAATTTTGTAGTAGTGAAAGTAGCAAAAATTTTAATGTTTACATATTGTGAACGCATTGATGTAATATAAAACCTTTCAGAAATTATGAGATTTGTACAGGATTTATCGAGATATGCTAGCAGTGGCAGAACCGCAAAAGTTTACAAGCAATGCTAAACAGTTTCTTGTACTGTATTGGAATGGAATGGTTTTAGTAGCTCAGAACAGTCATCTTACAAAGACATCCAATGGTTAATTGGCTAGTGTTCCCTTGCAGTTTACCACGCTGTGATACAAATTAATTACACAGTATAATGTTCAAAATTCACTATCTATTTAACAGTGATTCTGCTAACAACAATGCCCTACAAAACTACAGTAAAGTTACCAGTCAAATTATAATACGTCTGGGCCTTGTGTTAGACTGGCTCCAGAATATATAGTTATAAATTATAATAACTGCTTTGATTCGTATTTTATTTTATAAATTATGTTCATATTTCTTATGAACTATTAGTGTAAGACTAGTTACAACAGAATCTGAGATAATGTGGTATCAGCAAAAGCAATATTTAAATTTGTTTGAGTGCGTAGTGTTACCAGTATTAGCAGAAAATTATATCATATATATGTGGGTCTAAAGATATTGCGTGCAGTGGATTGAATACTGCAGGCAAAACAAGTCATTGTCAATGACACGTCCCCGTTCCGTTCATATTTGAGTGACATATACATTCAAAGCAGATCATGACCGAAATGCACCTGCATATGTACAACAC